TGTGTTTTGAAGGGTGTTGTGTTAACTCATGGAAACTTGATCGCAAATGTCGCGGGTTTCAGTCTGGCAATAAAATATTTACCTTCAGATATGTGAGTTGAACATTTTCCTTCAGATATTTTATAGTTTTATATATTCGTATAATAGAAAATCTTTAACTCAGATATCTTCTATCTTTAGTTACATATCCTATCTTCCCTTAGCGCACATATATGAACGTGCACACCAGATTTTGGTGGTGTATGGCGGCGTTGCTGTCGGTTTCTATCAGGGGGTATGTAAGCTCATCTCTTGTGTCATAATGACGTGAACTTGTGGTATGGAGCTAAGTCATGTATTTCTTTGACAGGATAACCTGAAACTGATGGATGATTTGGCCGTGTTAAGACCAACATTATTCTGTAGTGTCCCTCGGTTATATAATAGGATATATGATGGGTAAATCACTCTTATGTTTCCCATGCAATTCAATTACCACTGTTATTGTGGAATCATGTGTGTTTTCTATTTACTAGTTTAATCCCCACAGAATTACAAATGCCGTAAAATCATCTGGAGCTATGAAGAAAAGGCTTTTCCAAGTTGCATATAACTCAAAGAAGCAAGCAATCATAAATGGTATTGTCTGCTAATAAAAACAGTTAAAAAGTAAATCAGGTATACATGTGTCAAGCTTTAAACGTTTTTCTTTCTTTCTCATGTGTGATTTCCTTAGGCCAGAATTCGTCTCCGCTTTGGGACAAACTGGTCTTCAACAAAATAAAAGAAAAGCTTGGTGGACGGGTTCGGTTCATGGGGTCTGGTGCTTCTCCATTGTCTCCCGACATCATGGATTTCTTGAGAGTGTAAGTTTTCTGTTTTTAAATATCTTCCATGATTCCACACTCTCATTGATTTCTAAGAATCTGAAACTCTTCTACAACATTGTAAATCAACAAAGAAAATATGGTCTTTACTCATTATAATGTACAGATGCTTTGGATGTGCGGTGCGTGAAGGGTATGGTATGACTGAGACTTCTTGTGTCATAAGCTCTATGGATGAAGGTGACAATTTATCTGGCCATGTCGGATCCCCTAATCCAGCGTGTGGTAAGCAGTGTGCTATATTAAAGAATAATGAAGATATAGATAGTATGAACTTTTGTTTTGATTCTTAGTATATATCAGAATCCAAATCTTGTCAAGACCTCTACAATATATGAATACAATTTTTGTCTTTTAATTTTTTATTTATCAGAGGTAAAACTTGTGGACGTCCCCGAAATGAATTACACTTCAGAAGATCAACCATACCCACGTGGTGAAATCTGTGTAAGAGGGCCAATCATCTTCAAAGGCTACTACGAAGATGAAGAACAAACGTAACATGGTTTCCAGTTTTACTTAAGGCTCTAGTTATATGTATAGATAAGCAGGCATGGTCTTGACACATTCAATTGAGCAGGAGAGAAATTATTGATGGGGATGACTGGCTACACACCGGAGATATCGGGTTGTGGTTACCTGGTGGTCGGCTCAAGATCATTGACAGGTTTTATAAATCGAAAATATCTTGAATTTTTTCTCCATTTGATAATTCTTTGCTGGAGAAAGAGTTGAAATATTTGTTTAAACTTCATGTTCATGGCAGGAAGAAAAACATATTTAAGTTGGCGCAAGGGGAATACATAGCACCAGAGAAAATCGAAAATGTTTATGCCAAATGTAAATTTGTTTCCCAGAGTTTCATATACGGTATGGAAAAGACACTACTCTCTACCTCATGGTTTGTACCCACCTCACAGGCTTCTTCACTTGTGCTATTTTCTCAACCGAGCCAGAATGTCTATTGTAGGTGATAGCTTCAATTCCTCTCTGGTAGCTGTGGTTTCGGTCGACCCAGATGTTATGAAAGATTGGGCTGCAT